GGATATGGTTGTATGGAAGTTCGTGGTTTTTGAAGCTAGAGCAATGAAACTTCCTTCTTTGGCTTTTTGGGAATAGGAGTCGGCGTGGGAGCGAGAGTGGTAGTGGAAGTGGGAGTTTGAGTAAGAGTGATCTGAGGTGAGAGTGTTGCGGCAATGTAGCACTTACAACAAAAATCGCCTTAAATGCGCCTTTACATAAATTAATAAACAGTCTAAATAATAATTATTAATTAATAACTCTACCCAAAGTGACTAATCCACGCGGACGAAGTCGCGGGCACAGCTAGTACTTTATATTGCAAAAAAAACGATTGCCAGGTCAGCTTGTACCTACATGATATACATATATGAAGAGTCAAAAATTACGCTTGTCGACTACTACTGTCAAGTGTCAACTACATTGACAACGCCTCAAAGTTTTCCTTGCTACTAATTCAGATGTCTAAGTTACATCAATACGGTCAAGCGAGGCACAAAAATAAAATCAATGTCGTTTTTGTAAAGCCTAAAAAGAATGAGTCAGGAAAATGTAGACCTATGCCCCACGTAGGACCTAGTCCTACACACTGTTTGTGTCTTAATTTTTAATTCAATGCCTTAAGTGGGAAATTATTTATAAATTAATTTAATTTTAAATAGTCGAACATGTCTCAAACGTCCAATTTTATTCATAATCACATTCCTCAGTAAAAAAATATTGTATTGTAAACCAATAGACGAAAATTCGAAGCCCCTTAATTTGTTTAAAAGGTTTGTCATAATGTCTTTGAAGTGGATCCAGAAATTAATATCGCGATAGGTCATTACAAAATTAATTAATAGTGAAATGCGAAGGGTGTTTCATGAAAATTTAATCCCGAATTATTTTAGACCCGTGAAAAGCTTCGATGTCTTATTATAAATAAAAAATGGCGCATGCCGCTTTTCTTAGAGATCCATTTAATCATAACAGAGAAGCAATTTCCGGACAAGTCTGAATATTTCGGACATCTGGCAACCCTACTCAGTCGGCCAAGGATATCAGATAGGTTTCTCTAGAATAGAGAATAAAATAGTAACTATGTATATAATAATGCTAATTGTGCCCGCAATTTCGTACGCGTGGAATAGTTAATTTGGGTATTATATTATTTATTTCTGCAGACAACCTCCTCAGCTTTATAATTATATTATATTATATTTATAATTATAGCTGTTACCGACGACGTCGTCTGCGTCCCGTCATTTTTGCGAGTTAATCTTTATACTAATTTGTGGACATTTTTTGACTATTCAAAGAGAAATCATATTGTAATGTAACGCAGGGCACGCAATGGAAGTCGTCAAGGATGAATTATTTTCTCCTTTTTTTCCACAAATTATCTATTCAACCAAAAATAATTTTTAAAATTGACCCAGTAGTATGAAACCTTTGAAATCTGACCCCGAAATTAGCGCGTCTAAACACACAAACGTCTCTTCAGGTTTACAATATTAGTATTGATATGTCACTTGTCTAAAACGACCTCGGTATGAGTAAATTTTTTATCACTTATTAGGATTATATCATATTTTCCTTGGAAATACATTGTTTTTTAAAAGTTAAACTAGCTCAAGATGCCATAAATAAAACGTGAAGGAAAAACATAAATGCGACTTGAACCAGGGCCACTATTTCCTAAAGCAACGTCGAAAAATATTGTACTAAGTGAATACAATACATAAAATAAAAAAAGACTCATGAAGTAGACAATTTTTTAATTTCTGAAAAATTATAAATTAATTAGCATAAGTTTGGACGCGGTTTAGATCAAATCCACGACCCGGTATTTATTAGCCGTACACTGCTACATTACACCAATCAACCCGTCAAAAATTATTATTATCGTATTTAATATCCTTTAATGCGGTAAAGGTTAAATTCATTCAAATATTACAATTACGCATAAACAATGAACGTTCAAAGAGACATTAAGATTATTAATGAAAAGTACTTTAGATTTTAATTAAAATGAGGTTTACTTAGGCACAATTTCGGCTTGACAGAATGAAATAATTGAAGATCGACTAATGACTTGTGTCGTCGCTCGGTTTTGGTTCAGGGTTTCGATGTAGGGTATATTTGAAAATAAAAGCCTATTTGTGTAAAATGATAGAGTAACTGCACTTTATGACGTTATTATTACAATTTTAACTTATCTTTGAGCTGGAGCATTTGAGAAAAAAAGGAATACTAGGTATATTTTCGTTGTTAGAATTAAATAAAAATCTACTTAGATTTAAAAAATACGTCAGTGACCGTGCAGCTGCTGCTCAAACTGAAAAGTAAACCTTGTTTTATAAAAAAACACTTCACAAAAATGTGTAGACTTATACATATTTATACGAAGAAGTTAGTTGTGAAAACCATCGCTCACAAGTGGATCTAACAGTTATAACGATCGGAAAAATGTTCGTTATACTGTACAAAACTTTAAATTGATTATTGATTTTGTTTATTTACCAACTGTCCTGGTTCAAACGCACTGTAAAAATGCTGATGGATGTTAAATAAAATCCTCACTGCTGCTGCAAAGCATCCGGGACGTCGGGCCGAAATTAAAAATCATTTTCAAATAAGTTTAACTAATATATCGCGTTTTAAACCGTTAAAGTGTTTTATTTAAATTAGTTAAACTTGATTGAAAATTATTTTTAACTACAGCCCGACGTTTCGGATGCTTTGCAGCAGCCGTGGTCACGGGGAAACTTTGGAAAATTTGGTATTACTTTTTTTGACAAATACTACAGCTCAAAAAATAGTTAAAATTGTAGTACCTACAGTTTTTAAGTAAATTTGTTAACTTACTTTAACAACGGTCTATGTTCCAGATGTATCGTGGTACTCCTGCGACCACGGCGGATACTCACGTAAGCTATAGACTACTTATTTAATGAATATATACATATTTGTCCTCTTTAAACAACAAAGTAGAATACTGCCTATAGTTTACGCGAGTAGTACACATTTAAATAAAACACTTTAATGGTTTTATTTAAACAAAGTAGAAGTCATCAATAAGATTATTTTGATATTTTTACTTCGCGACTTCATACACAATTTTCAAGGTTCAAAAAGAGGTATTTCAGCACAATAGATAGAAATATTTCATCATAAAAGACTATTTACGTTTAACGGGATATCCGAAACACGTAATTTTTTAAAGCTTCCCGAGTTTTTCGGATACTTCCTACGAAATAACAGTTCCTCAAAGTAAAATCCTTTAGGAGCATTATGGGAAATCTTTTAAATATTCTTCTTGCCCAAAAAAAGAACCTTTTTACCTTATATAGTACCTTTTAATTGTGTCGATGAAAACTCAATGTAAAAACCCATTTGTGCTCGTTTCACTGACCTACTTAATAAACACATTTATTTGAATTGCAATATAACGGTCAAGTAGCCTTCTGTGTCCTGCATTGCAAAATAAAATTGTTCCCCCCCTATATTCAGACTCGGAACGTTTCTCGTATTAAACGCAATGGAAGACCGCATTGTCTTCTACAAAAAAAATATCTCTTACATATTTTGTTTAATTTCTCCATATTAATTATATTTAAACTAAATAGAGGAAGACGAGAATCAAGATCCTTGATAAAAACCTTTTGTATTGATCAATTACTTCAACAGTGCGAATATGCACCAAACAAAACTTAAGTACTCGAGGCTTGCTTGTTAAAGTTAAACCTGTCATGTATGTGAAGTACCTTCTTTTAAAAGATACTTTACTTCTCTTTTAATTAAAAGTTCCTGTAGTATATTACAACGATCTTTTATATAAGGTATTTAAATATATGGAACCTGTTTGCATGCAGCAGACGAGCTTAAAAGCATATAGGTCTTAATTTGGTTTATATCTATCAAATACTATCGGCCTTTAAAAATATTTTCAGCATCAGCAGTAACTATCATTATGGATGCCGGTTCAAGTCCCGCCCGGGTCAACTAATTATATCGTTTGATCATAAAAAAAGAAACCGGCTACCTAAATATGTGTGTTATGACTAAAGAAATAAAACATTTTCGAAAGTCAACCAGTAGATAAATAAAACACAAAATTTTTATATAAATATTTTTAATACATATAACATGTTAAATAAAATAAGACAACAAGATTTTTTTCGACTAAAACAAAACATTTAAATTCAATTCAATTTAATTCAATTATAATTTTAGTAACGAAAAATTAAATATTTTATCCGGCCTGCGTTATTAAGTTTAAAACATTTTTAACGTAATTAACAAGTCGCTGTCTATCAAACTTGAAACTTTATTAAAAAGAAAAGCCATAAATCTTCACCAAAACTTTGAACAAACAATGAATTAATAAATGAATAAAAGCAAATTGGAACACATTGTTTGAATTTTTTATAATTGAAAACTTCAAAGCTCTCAAAATATTAAGCTACTCTTCATGTTAAAATAGCTATTTTAGAAAAATACAGGAACAGAGCATATGCTTTGCCTCTTAGCTACAATCAAAGATAATCACTGATATACTTCGCCTTTAGACATTCTCAACCATAAGGTTACGGCTGCTTCGCATTGTAATTTTGACCTTAATACATTCGAATAGGGATTCATGAACCCTTGTGTACCAACATGAGAAACATGATTGAAAAATTCAAGTCACAACCAGTCATGAAAAAAAAATGGTCTTCTAAGATTTTGTAACAGAAAATGTATTCCTTAAAATATTGTACTACAATAAAACACTTTTAACATATAAGTTAAGCTGTCCCAGTGAACACGGCTGACCATCCCAAACGACGTCATAGTTATAATAAATCAAAAATAACTTTAAATGTCTAATACTTGTGCAAATTACACACAAGACTTATATTGTAATTAATAATTGTTCATTGAAAAAACTAGTTGGTCACAACAAAAAACTACAACCAAATTTTAATAGCCCGTGACTCTGAGAGAATGGATAGTCATCATTATTAACTTCAATGGCTAAGCTTTGAACGTTAAAAATTCACACTATATCTGCCATCATGACTCGAACAAGTTTAGGCTGTATCTCCCTGGGCACCCCGTGTTTATCTATCAAATGGCGTCGAACTGTTGAAATTTTAGCATACAAAGTATCACACTCACTACATTTAAACATATAACATCGCTTATGATTACTGTTACAATGAGCCAGCATATCTTCCCTTCTAAAAAACTTCTTCGGACACTGACTGCATTGGACTTTCTTCTCTGTATGTTTTATTAAGTGATTCTTGTAAATATATCTTCGTCTAAAGGTCAGCCCACACTTGTCACATGTGAATGGTCGTTCCCCTGTATGTATCCTTTCATGTTCTATCATATCAAAACGCCTGGATGCTTTGAAGGAACACTGGGAGCACTGAATGTATGGTCCAGTGCCATGCTTTGTTAATTTGTGGCACTGTAGACCAACAAGTGTTGTGTAGGTGTTGCCGCATTGTTCACAAATAAACCTAAAAAAAAATCCTCATTTAATAAAGCCCAATAAAATTCCTTTTAATGTGGGAGACAAATAGTTGTATCTAATTTTTAGTTGATTAGTTTACGGGAAAGTTAATGTCTTTTACAGTGGACTTAAATAATGATTCCCTGGAATATTAATCCAGTGTTTAATACGTCCTATAATAATAAATTAATAAAATATTTATACGAGACAACCTTTACTTTAATTAGAAAAAGTCTACCTTTAAGTCAACGAAAATGAAACAACTTTGATGAAAACAAAAAGTATTTAAAACAAACGCCTAAAACCCCTAACAGATTTACAGGACAAACATCACTCACCTGTTTTTTTTTGCATGCAGATTCATATGGACTCGATAACTAGATGGATTAGCTAACTGCTTCCCACAGATCCGACATTTCCGCTTCTTTTGCCTTTGTTTCATAAATTTATTGTGCTGATACTTACGCAAAATTACAGAAGCAGTGTTATTATCACAAATCAACTTATCTATACTATCAAATACTTCACTATAGTTTTGTTCCTCATTATTAACAACAGTGTCAGGTTTACTATTGTCAAAACTATCTTGGTCGTCATTTTCGTCTAAATATCTACTATTTATCATACAATCAATTTCATCTAACACTGTGTCTGGATTTACATAAATTCTCTTTCCTGGACTGTTGCTACACTTTGAGCTGTCTCCATTAAAATGATTCTCAATTAGATTGGTCCTCTTTGAAGCTTGAGGCTTCTTGTTTGCTTGTAATTTGTGGCTAGCATTATGTTTCTTCAAAAGTTTACTAACTGTATCGCAGTTAAATGAGTCATCTTCCAGTAGCATTTCAATCTCATCTAATAAAATGTCTGTTAAATCTGGGTTAACTGATTTTGACTGAAAGTCATGATTTGAGCTATCGAGTGAACTGTTTCTAGAATTTAAGGTTTCAAAAATTGATCTTTGGCTTCCCTCACCGTGTATGTCAAGTAACTTATTACTTATATTTTTACAATTATTGTGGTCCTGCATAGTGTCGACTAAAGAGATTTTGTTGTTGTTGTACAAGCTCTTGGTCTTGTGTAATTGTTTTTCACTAGATTCACATGTGAACTTGAAATAGATACATTGTTTCAATAAAATTAAACACTGTTTACACATTGAGCTAGGAAACATATCAGCCTTTTTCAAATGTACCTTAGCAAAACACTGTATCGCTTGACCATAATAATTAAGAGTGTCTTTTTCAAACAGAGAAATCATACTTTCAGATTTGTTATATTTTAAACACAGCCGGCAAGTATTTTTAAGCTCTTGATGGCGTTTCATTTTGTAACTACTGTCGCTACATTAATGTACGATTGTAACACAATTCTGCTACAAACTACGAAAATACATTTTAGTATTTATTTATTTTGTTTAGTTCTATGACACTTGACAGTTGACATAAGCTTTTCAAAGTGGCGTTTCCGTTTTACGCACCGTTTATTATTAACTTAAAACAATATAAATGATAAACATATTTTTTTGTGTTATGTACCTGTTTTAAATATTAGGACTTTAATTTTAACCAGTATTTAACGTAAATGTCTCTATAATAACTATTGCTAAGCATAAAGCTGTTTTCTTAAATCATAATTATTATTTTTATTAACAAATCCTTACACTGTCCTTAAATCCCTTTCATTAAAACAGTTATTGTATTTTTAATTTTATTACGACGGATATTTTTAATATCTTGGTGTTGCGGGAGATTTTATGATCAAAACTTTCTCTTAGAAGTTAATTAGTGAATTAAGTTTGTTTCTTTTCATTGGCAATACACCAGTATTAACTGTAATGGAAACCGAACTATAAATAAGAAGAAGATAGCTCATTAGAGTTTCACTAAATACAAAATAAATAAATACTTACGACTAAAAATTCTTTTGATCTCAAATGGCCATAATCTACTTTACGATTTATAACAAGCTAAACATAACAATTTCGTAGCAATAAAATTATAAAAAGGGACATTTTATGAAGTTTCTTTTCAATTCTGCGATCTTAAAACCTCTCGGGATATTTGAGAAGCAAATAATTAAAGCAAAGGAAATCTCGGCCACAAGTTTTTTCCTTAAGTCATTTTAGATGTCGTCTTTCATTTCAATGGTAGAGAGTTGTACCAATTTATTAATATATGTTATATATGTTACCTACTTCTATATTAACTTGACCCGGTTTTATTTAAAATTACCATAATGCAACATTCAAGTTACAATTATTATAAAAAGATTTACTTATTTTAAATATCGGTTCCCATAAGTCATCATTTATACTTGTCTTTTTGTTTCTCTTATTTCAGTACGTACGTAATGTTTAATTATAAACGATTTACGCCACCTTAATTGACAGATGTTTACTATATTTAAAACTTTGTTTTAAACTTATTTCGTATTTACTTCAAAATTGCTACTAATTGTATTTTCAGCCCCTTTAAAATAAAAGAAAAGCAAATAGAAGAAAAACAAACTAATTTAAATACGGTTCAGAAAACCCTCATCCTTTTAATATCTTTTGAGTGTTTGAAATAGTTATTCTTACTGGTTGAGATACGTAGTGATAGATCTTAAATGCATTTAATGTTGAGAAAGAATTCCCTCGCCTGTACACTTAATATTATTAAAACGCAAGCCTCACGTCGAGAAATGTGCCAAAAGTATTTTACCTTGTTTACTTTGCTACAGTCACGTAAAAGTATTTTACAAAAATTACTACCTGTACATTTTTTATTAAATAATTTGATTGTAAATTTATGCTGCAACTTCGTGGCAATGTGGTCAATCAATGCAAAGCAAAGTGTTAAGCAACGAGTCCTGGTTCTGAATCCCGAAGTTTTTTTTTGGTCAGACAAGCCACAGAAGTCAACTTCGTGCGGATAAATTTCAACAATGATTCCTCCAAGAAATTATAGCTATATATGTAACAACTTCGAAAATAAACATTTCTAGAGCATTAAAAATACTTCGTCTTAAACTTCTTCTAAACAAATTTAACTCATTTCACTTACATTCATTTAATCATAATAATATTACATATAAAATAAAAGAAATGATTATGACACCCAAAATAAAATCTTTCTTCTAAGATAATACTTAACCTTGAGGAAGGAACTGTAGTGACTTGTGAGTTATGAGATGTTTATACCATTGTAGGCACAATAAAGTGGCAAGATGCGACGTATAAGATACCATATATAGAGCTGCTAAAACTCTTTATTTTGACTCAAATTTTGTTGGCTAATGCGCGAGTTCTCCTCTTTGTTTTAAGAGGCAAGAAAAGGTACTTATAGACTACTATATGTATTTTGGGAAATTTCACGAAAATATTCCTAAATTTAAATTCTATTAACAACGCAATATAACCACAACGTAAATATAATAGAGATTTGTTTGCATATAAAAAATCCATTTTGCTTAGAAGCAAGCAAGAATAAACGACAAATTTTCATTAAGTAGACTTAATGAAAATTTATCTTTTATTCTTGATAACATATCTGCTCTATACAATTCCATAGAGTGCCTACAACAAAAGTTGCCATGTGAGGGGAAATACCGCGGCCACATAGGTGTTATGGGCTTACACGATTATAGGGCACGGAAGGTGATGTTGCCACGCTATTGTAATAATATAAATCTTGTATGGCAATATTGTATTCCATACCTTTTACATATCGCGGTGAAAAGGTGATCTTCACGTCAAGTGTAAAATGGCGGCCAATGTACTCAGCTCAGTTTTATATTTTCCCTTACTCGAGCGTGAAATTAAGGTTTTAAGACATTGTCGACATGGACGGGACTTGAGTTACTAACAAATCGATAAAATTGTCAGTCATTTTTTTATCGATCTAAATCGATAGTTAATTTATATAATAAGTAAAATTAAAATAAAAAAGCTTTTTGTTACCAAACATATTTTACATGTTTTACGTTCCGTTTACAATTTATTCGTATTTGTCAAATGTTGTATATGTCGGGTCCGCATTTTGCGGTAAAAGCCTCCTCCATACGCTTCCACTCCGTTTTGTTTGAAGCGCTTCGTTCCCAGAACATGCCTGCAGTTTCCTTATATTCGTCGTGCCACCTCCTGGACGGTCTACCTTGTTTCCTTTTTACGCCTAATGGAGTCCAACTTGTGAAAACCTAATTTATATAATGCAATGTATCGAATATGCTTTAAGATGTAAAAGAAACAACATTCTAAATGTTATAGCTTAGTTCAAATGCATAAAGGATTACAACCGGGGTTCGAACCTTATGCTAAGATTGAATGTTTGTGGCATTAAGGCAACATAAGTCTAGTAATTCTTATCACGTTTTTGTCTGAAAACTAAATTGAAAAAAAAAATCGACTCGGGCAGAACTTGAACCGACAATTCTCAAATAGTAATATACTAAATGTAAATGGACAGATTTGATTAAATAGATCTTATTTTATAACAGAAAATATGATAAAAGGCTAATTTACAAAGAGGGTAACTCAAAGAAGATTTTATCCAAATGTTCAAATAGGAAGAATAGGAGACATCACGGTTGAGATAAACCGAATTATAGCTTTATTCATATTAGAGGATACAAATGTATCCATCTTTATTCGAGGAGGCTTATTATTTTTAATGTTCACTTCAATGGATCCGATTTTTATTACAGAATATTTTATTTCATCAGTGTTAGGTTAAAACGATTAAAATCACTAATAGTTTTGTTCTTTTATTTTATTCAAAAATAGTAAAAGTTTAATCCCGTTTCCCTACATAGGGCATACACACTGGGGCAAGGCTCTGTGTACATTAGAAATAGAAAAAAAATCACCACAAAACTAAAAAATACCAACAGAAGATTTAAATTTAATTCGTGAAATAGAATTTTGTCAGCACCTCACGATTCGGACTTAATTAAATGGACGAAGGAGATCGCACGGTTCTATTTTTCAGTCTATCCCCTTAGGCCAAAGTTTCACATTTATAATTCTTATTAATATTAATTAAAACTGGTAAAGAAACTTTTTAGTACCTTAAAACTTTTTAGTACTTCAAAAATGCGAAGTTATTGAACTAAGATTATATGTTTTCCTAATTGTTACTAGTAACAGACATCAAAGTTGCTAAAAGCTACAAAATAATATATACATATAACTCAATACACATCACAAAGGCACCTTTCCCTTGTAGTGTCATAATATGATTCTAATCTAATTTCTAATGGGAAAATTTTATAAATGGCAATACATAACCAGAATTCGCGAATTCTCCAATAAATCTTGAAGCGTTCTATCTGCAACTGTTTGCCATTCGATGCCCGTCGACGTCCCTAAATGTCTTCAAAGGATGTTTACGTGACTGGACTGATATAGTTCGAGCCTTAACATGGGGTCCCATGCTTTTAACAGATGGAGGGATAATTTGCGCACCGAAAAGATTTCTTGAAAGATGCTATAACCAGGCTTAGGTTTCTGCGAAGAAAATTTACTTATTGATTATCTTCGGCACATACTTTTGGTATATCATAGGTATTTAGTAGATTTAAAAATATTTCAAGGTATATATGATGAAACAAAACTCCTGTTTTAAATAATCCTAATATTTTTTTTGCAGACTATTGTACGTACTACTTGGTATGTCAATATAAAGATTCAGAAGATCATAAATACATTCTTGATTGTATAATTATTTATATAACTGATAAAGAATTTATGACTTTCCATGGTTGGAATACCCTAGTAAGAACTTTATACAATACTAGCAGTTCCCCACGACGTCGTACGCGTCCCGTCGTTCTCACAAGTTAAAACATAGATGTCACGAACATTTTTTAGATCATTTATTGAGGAATCTTTTCTTCGTACATATTTTTTGGTTTCTAAAACCATTTTCACAGCACACAGATTTTTGCTCCTATTGGTTTTTAAATGGTATATCTAACACAAAAATATTTTTCAGTTCAAACCAATAGTCCCTGAAATTAGCGCGTTCAAACCAACGACACTTTATGTTT